CGATAACGTTACTATATCGGAATTAAACGTAATTTATACTGATAATATCTCAAGCAAGCAATCAAGTTCAAGCATTTCCACCATCATCAATCAAATCCAATTTACTCTAATAAACATTATAAGTAAAACCGGAGCAAAAACGAAGTAAAGAGCTTTAAAACTAAATACTCAATCTCCCATTGCGTAGACGATGAAAAACAGAGTCAAAAGCTCGAACTTGAACGAAACCGAAGTCGCCGGAAAATCTCCCGGAAAATAGCATAAGCTCCTAATCTAGAGAGAAAAAAACAAAAAATAAACTAATTTCCCAAAGAGGAAAAGTAAAAAAAATGAGAGTTGGATCCCCAAAATATAAAGGAAGAAAAATATTTATACTCCACTCCAAACACACACTAGAAAAACGCACAATTAAAAAGACACTCCTGAGCTCTCCATGAAATTCGCGAGCTCGCGAGTGCTAGACAGCACAGGTGCACGGCGAAGACACTCCCGAAGTCGCGGTTGGTCTCGCGCGCGCGGGCGGTAGCCTGGAGGGCTCTCGACGTCGCGGTTCGTCTCGCGCGGTCGCGGACGCGCGCATGAGGGGCTCTCGTGCTCGCGGAGCTTCCTCCGTGGTCGCGAGTGTAGGCAGTGGGCGCAGAGCTCGCGATGGCGTGGATGTACAAGCGAACCCGCGAGCGTGCAAGGTGCTGGGGCACGGTTGCGGCTGGTGCGCGTGCGCGCGGGTGTGTGGGCATGTGCGTGCGCACGGCGCGTCCGTGTTCGACTAAGGCTCGACATACTCGACCGGAAATGTTCGTACAAATAACTTGGCTTGGCTCGGAATTGACTCGAGTTTCTTTTCATCCTCAAAATAGACCTGAAAATATATCAAAAGCACAGACAAGTACGCCAAGATACAAAATAAAATGAAAAACACAAAAACACTTGAAAAACGACAAAATGGACCGGACGACACTAAAACGAACCTAAAAATTACTCGATAACACATATAAACACATAAAAATAAGCACAAAAACATAACAAACAACTCCCCCACACTTAGCTTTTGCTTTTCCTCAAGCAAACAAAATAACAAATAGCTCGAAGAGATATATCGAACGGGTCAAAATTAACGAACATGCAAAATGACACTCTAATTATCATTCGGTTATCCCAAAATCAATATTCAATCCGAGACACGGTTCCCACATGATGAATCTAACGAAACAAAAACCCGTCCCAAGTCAATCCACAAATGGCCGCTCGAGTCAAACTCCCTCACTCACATGTATGTGCAAAAACCATAGATGATCTACAAAACATGAAATAATAAGCACGAGATCAATAGGCCAACTCCCCGATTTTCTTCTTCTTCTTTTTTTTTTATATTTTATATATTTTTTTTTGAATGAGCCACTTTTTCCAAATGAAAGCCGTTAGGACGATTATTACCTAGGTTTAACCTTGGGGTTTGTCCCCGAGTCGCCTAGGCCGGTGTCCCGTGCTCGTTGACCCGATCTTTCTAGAAGATTAACCGAGCCAAGAGGAGCTTAATCCTTTCGATTCCCACGAGCTCATTTCATGAGCTTCTTTTTCCAAACGAGGTTTCCGGACGAGATGATCTAGGTTTAACCTCGAGGGGTTTCCTCGAGTTTCCTAGACCGGTTTCCCGGACTCATTATCCCAATCCAC